ACATACTTGAATCGGAAGATCGGTTAATACTTTTACGCTATAATAAGCTTTCAAAGAGTACCAATTATTTAAATGTTCTTGTAAGAATATTGCCGCTTCCGTAGGAACTATAATCAGATACAAAAATTAAATGTGTGTGTCTGTTGTGTGTGTGTGTATATATACATGTATATTGGGTTGGAGAAAAAGTTCTACTATTATTTTTAGTTCAAAATTATATATGCAATATCTTCGTTAAAAACGATCAAAATTTAAATTAAAAAAAAAAAAAGAGTTTTAAAGCTTGAAATCTTTATTTTCGAATGGTTACTATATTTTTTAATTTATGTGAGTTTTGTAATTTTTATATGTAGAAAAACGAATTGAAAAAAACGGAAATTTGTCTTCTCTTTGTGGATCTGTTATATGCTAAAAAAATTTGCGAAAATTTTAACTATCTACATCGTGAAGTTTTCCTTACAAAATCATTTTTTTTAAATGTTCCTACGATTTTTTGTTCTTGAGTTATTCGCGAATTTAAATAAAAAGTAGAATTCTGACTGTGATTGCTCATAACTCCATTAAAAATCATCATATTGTAATTAAAAAAACAAATTCTTAAAGCTGAAAAAGCTGAATTCTTAAAGCTGTTGTTTTATTGAATAATACTATGCTAATTTTTTAAGTGTGAAATAAATAGAAATTTGAATTAAAAATGTGATATTACTATCCTTATATATATTGTAACGTGCTCGCGAATGACGGCACAACTTCGTCGCGTGCTCCTTGATCTCCTCTGACTTAAAAATATTTTTAGCACTAATATCTCGACAGCTAGGTGTCGAAGCGTAACATCTCGACAGCTAGATGGATTTTCCACAAGTATCTAGTTTCCCGCTAAGTTGGGCATTAGGCACGAGAGAGCGTATTACTCTTTCGATACTTTCCTCTACTTTCACTCGTACTAAATTCACGATGGCAGGAATGGGTCGTCAAAGGTGGGAAAATTATCGGAAGTCAAGAATCGTCTGAGATAATAAAGGATTAAATCGGCCGTTTTCCGGAACGCGAGCTTTTCCACTTAAAGCTACGAATCCGGATCGGCAGCTTTACAGTAGTGATGGCGATGCTCGTCTCATCCTCGGCATCCTGATCTATCCGTTATCCTTCTCGGCAATCTTCTTCATAGCAGCGATTCTCGAAAATTCTCTCGTCAACGGCGACTTCGCACATCATTTACAAATCGTCGGCTCAGTCACGAGTGAGGTCTAGAAGCTCTTGCGGATTCACGCAGGCCATTCGACTCCCTCCCTCACTCCCCTCTCAGGGGAGACAGTCACGCTCCTGCTTATCACGCTTACCGCACGAGTCCTCACGATCGTGAATCCTTGCTCTTAAGAGTGCGTAATATATAATTTCCTTTCAAGTGCTCCTTTTTCCGCCTGAGGCCCCCGAATTTTCCGGGTTAGTGGGAAATGTTCTGCCAGCTCCTTTTGTAACTTCATGTCTGAGACATGTCTCCGATGTCCGTACGATCCCTTAGGTGATTGGAAATTCTCTTTTGATCATACTCTGCAAGGGTCGTACTTTGCACGACGTAAGAAGGTTTTAGGGCGACAGCGGATTATAAGCAAATACATGAAACAATACGATCTGCGGGTTCAGACTCCCATGTATGTGCCCTCCTAGCATAACGTCATCTCTTCTTTCTTCCTTGCAAGTTTTCCTCCTCCCGATAGTGGATGAGATGGCATAATCACAGAATAAAATAGAAGCTGCTACGCGCGATCTATGGTGATTCTAACTTTAATTGTGAGACCAATTACTAAAGAAAAAAAGTCTTACTTAAAAGAAAAAAAATATTAAACAAAAACAGACAATTAAGGGGGCAACGCACGTTCGCAGTGCTTGCATGCGCGCTTATCCTCCGAGCTGGGAGGACGCACGATTTCACTGCTGACGATTTCCGATAGTGATGGACGAAAATTGTCATGTCACAATATATATACATACATATATATATATATAAAAATATATATATTGGAAGTACAAATTATTAATTCGATCCGGTCAAAAATGCATTTATTTGAAAACAAAATGAATGAACAGATCAACATAATCAAAATATTGTCCATCGTTGCCTACTACTTTTTCCCATTTCTCAAGCAATTTTCGAATTCCATCTCGAAAAAATATCTCTTTGAAGGCGATCCAATTTTGAAGCCAATTTTCGATTTCTGGGAAAGAAGTGAGCCGGTGACTTGCATCTTTCGAAACAACCAGTAATCAGAAGGAGCAATGTCCGGAAAATATGGCGGGTGCGGTAAAATATCCCATTTGAGCGTTTCCAAATATTTTTTTACGACTTTAGCGAAATGAGGCCGAGCGTTGTCGTGAAGAAGAATAACTTTATCATATCTTTGCTTGTATTCCGGCCATTTTTCTCGCAATGCACAGCTCAAACGAATCAATTGCAGCTGATACCGATCGCCCGTAATGGAATCGCCAGGTTTCAACAGCTCATAGTAAATAAGACTCTTTTGGTCCCACCAGATACAGAGCATGATCTTCGAATAATGAATGTTCGGCCGTGATGTTGATGTTGAGGTCAATGTAACGACCAGACTTAGCGTAGTATTTTTTCTTGTTGGAGTTGTCGTAAAATATCCACTTCTCATCTCCAGTCACAATTCGATGCAAAAAAAACCTTTTCTCTGTTGTCTTTGAATCAGCTGTTCGCAAGTGAAAAATCGCTTTTCAACGTCTTTCGGTTTCAGTTCATAAGGCACCCAATTTCCTTGTTTTTGAATCATTCCTATGGCTCTCAATCAACAGAAACGGCTTGTTGAGTTACCCCCAATGATTCTGCAAGCTCCTCTTGCGTTTAACTATGATTTTCTTCGAGTAATGCCTCTAATTCTTTGTCTTCGAATTTTTTTGGCTGTCCAGAGCAAGGCTTGTCTTCAACGCTGAAATCTCCATCCTTGAAACGTCGAAACCATTCCCTACATGATTTATCAGTTGGAGCAGTGTCACCATAAACTTCGACAAACATTCGATGGGTATCAGCCGCACTTTTCTTCCAATTAAAGCAGAAAATCAAAACCTCCCGCAAATGCTGCTTGGTTAACACAAAATTCGACATTTCAAACACAGTAAAAATCAAGGTTTTTGTATGAAACTCAAAGATATAAACTGAATATTATTAGAAGATGTTTAATCTCTTTGAAACCGTCAAAATCAGCTGTCACTATGAACCATTCACAACAGCTGGAGCTATCTTTAGGGAAACGGACCGAACTAATTTGTACTCCCAATATATATATATTTATAATACATAATCATTGCGCTGAAAAAAAGGACTGTAATATCACATTTTTAGCTCCAATGTACATAAGTATGTTTTATTTTATTAAAACTTGGCAATAACACCACTTAATAAAGCAACGTTTTAGCTTTAAAAATCTATTTTATTAATTACGGTTTTATTAATTATGATTTTTAACGGAGTTATGAGCAAAATCAGAATGCTCTTTTATTTAATATTTAGCGTAACTTGATAACAAAAAATTGTAAGAACATTTTTTTAAAAACAAACTTTTAGGAAAAACTTTAAGTTTTCATGTCAGATAGTCGAAAATTTCGCAACAAATACAAATTCTGTATAATTTTAAGCTAAAAAATAAAATTCCGCAGGACTTTTTCTCCAACTCAATACAGGGTTATCCAGAACAACTGCAGGCATGTACATACATATTTCTCATGAAAAACTAAGTCGAAGATATTAATAGCAAGATGTTAATAGCAAAATGTTGAGGTGTCAATAGTTTTTGAATGGTGAACCTTTGAAATCGTCCAACAGCGTAAAGTTCGCGCCGTCAGGCACGGCAATCTAGTGACCTCTATTAATGCCTACTACTGTATTCTTAACTCAAATGCTGCTTAGTATTGTAATTTAATTGACGAAGAGTAATTTCAATTGCAAATTCGACGAAACGTCATTAAAAATGTATATTTTTGAAATATTTTAAGTAATAAACATGTAACTACCTAACTTTTGCGCAGACTTAGCTCGTCAGATTTAATGTTCGATTCGGAACGCAAGAGAGGTTCATGCGAATAGAAAAGATGCAGATTCGATTATAAAGATGTGATTATAAAGATGGTAATAATGTTATAAATGAATAATCGAGTTTATTATGTATAGTTCATGTTGTACAATATCATGTGTGTATGTATATGCGTGTGCGTGTGCAAACGTAAATATTAACGCTCGTCGGTTATCGCCAAACGCTGTCTGGTGAAGCAAATTCCGTAGACAGGTTTTTTTATATGCGGTATCGCGATTTCGGGCGAAGGTAAGCAGCGGCGGAGCGGCTGCAAAGCTATGTTCGTGGAGTCGTGTTAGCGGCACTCAATGGCCGAGAAACCTCGACGGGATAAAGAAAACCCAATTTCCTTGATATTGTCAAGGCTGTACGTAAAAGAAAGAGAAAGGTGTATTCGGCGGTCGAGAATGCTCGACAGTGGCAGAAAACGCTCTACCACTAGGTCGTAGAATCAAATCAGCACCAGGAGTCGAATCGGCTAGGAGCGGGATCGGTACTAGAAACGCGGACAGACTTTTTAACATATTTAATGCGTGTTAATATACAATATACGAATTGTTATTCTCGCTCGTATTGTTCTGGAGTCGTTCGGCAATTCGCTAATGAACAATACGAACGGGAGAAATATCGCTTCGGCGGTAATCAATCGGTTTTGTCAATCTCGGCGGAACTGCTGTCAAGCATGATTTACACAAGGCGTGATTTACACTGACTTGTCGTTAGTTTCTTCCTGCTCCTCCAGAGCGAATTTTTAAGTCGTCAGCGTGAGAAGACGAATTTTTTCAAAACGCCTCAGACCATAAGCATTAGAGAATAATCATGTCATCGAATAACATACTTCGAGCCGCTGTTGTGCTTTGTGACCAATTATTCGCTTGATCACTAGCGACTACTTAACGCTGCGACTTCAAAATTTTAGTCGCTATCGAATAAAAACTAAGCGTGTACAAGAAACTTTCATCAGCGAATTCACGAACGAATTAAGAAGCTTGCTTTAAGCGAATAGCAGCAGAGTCGAGAGAATTTGGTGGCGAATTAATGACGTTATTAGACGCTGCTTCTAGCGAATAAAAATCGCCTCGTGTAAATCACTTTTCACACGCGCGTATTACTGATCGCGCTCTCGCAGGCGATTGTCGCAGTGGTGTCGACTAGTACCTTTGCTCGGAAAGGTACATTCATCTAGGTTGCAAACATCGTTACAAACAAATATTAATAAATTAAATCAATATTAATTAAATTAATAAATAAATAATATTAAAAACATCAATCAACAAATATTTCTAAAAACTTCTTTTCAAATAGTTCTGTCATAAACAATATTAGAAAATTTTATATTTGAAATTCGCATTTGATATAAATAAATATTTATTTATTTATGAAATGAAATTAACGAAATTCCAAATTACAATATGAGAAGAAAGAAAAGTATTACAATAAAGAAATCGAAGTAGACAAATAATAAGCTGTATTGTTACTAAAGATTACATTAAAATGTAATTTTATTATTATTAAAGTTTTTTCTGATATTGTTTATGACGGAACTATTTAAAAAGAAGTTTTGGAAATATTTGTTAACTGATTTTTAATATTATTTGTTTGGATGATTGAATTAATATTGATTTAATTTATTAATAGTTGTTTATTATTTAAAATGCGTATCTCAAAAACACATACTTTTTAATGTTTTATCGAATTTGCAATTGAAATTACTCGTCAATTAAATTTAATTTAAGAATACAGCAGTAAACGTTAATAAAGATTTCATGGATCCTTTTCAATACTTATTCAGCATCGTGATATTTAGCGATATCCGTTAAAGTGCGATCGCGGCCGGCTGTTTGATCACGCCGTGGTTGGACAGTTTCAAAGATTCACCATTCAAGAACTATCGACACTTCAACACTTTGATATTAACATTTTCGACCCAGTTTTTCCTGAGGAATGTACATGCTGGCTCCTGCGGTTGATTTGGATCACCTCCTGTGGGACATTCTCTATCAAATCGATCACCTAGTCTACTTTAATTTTTTAAATAAAATTCTTTAAATAGACTTAAAATTTTCCTTAAAATGTATATTTTTTTATGTATGACGTTTTTGAAAATTCAAAATGGTGAACCTAAAATGGTAACTGAAATGAAAAAAGAAATTTTGTGTGAATTGGAAAAAAAAGATATCACGAATAAATGTGCACAATCACCTCAAACGTGAAAAATAAGGGTCTCACGTAAATTAAGCACCCCTTACATGAGAAGCAAAAAGAATTCATGTAAGCATCTCAAAGAAATAAAAGCCCCGTCACGTCTATCTTGGGTAATGGCTAAACACGGGAAAATGCATGTCAGTCGGTTGAACATCAAATAAAATCAATCAGAATCAATGGCGTGAGTTACTGTATAATGTGTAATATTGTGCAAAAGAGCATTAAAGAACCATAGCACAAACTATGACATTCATTTTATACGTCCATTTTATACTATTTTCGTGTATGGTCACAAGGCATAGACCTCTGTCAAAGATAGAACAGCGTTCCACTTAATACAAAAAGGAATATGCCTGTCATTAATAACAGTTATGACTGCTCATGTCCATTTTACGATCACAATCAAATGTACGTATTAACGAGCAAAAATTATTTCCAATATAACTATAATGTTTTTTTCCGTATAGAAACAAGAACAGAATACGTGTAGTGAGAACAATTTTTATATGACAAATTTTTAACATCCAAGGGATGAAAAATTTTTGGCAATTCTGTCAGTTCTGTTAGCAGTTTTGGATAACTCAAGAGCTATTCAAATCGAAAATCGTACTTATATTCAATTTTCATATTTAATTCTTTTTATATTCAATATATTTTTGTATGATGATTTATTTTTTGTTAATAATTAAATTTGTGTCAACCGTTTTTAACTCGATCATTGAGCTTGTTAATATTTGATGATTTTTACATTAACGCGAGTGTCTTTTTAGTTCCTTAAAAAGTCTAACGATAATTATTAGCAATCGAAGTTGTAAAGTTAACACACAGCACGTACACACAGATCAAATCTCTACACATTGTGCATATTTATTCATAATACCATTAATTTTTCCAATGTCTTTTTTCATTCGAGTTGTTTTTTTGTATCCGCTATTTTGAATTTTCAAACACGCATCGAAAGATAGACATTTCAAAGAAAATTTTAAGTTCTTTTAAAAAATTTATCTCCAAAATTGAAATGAGTAGGGGAATGGCTCATGATGTAATTATTTATAAATTTACAAAATATTTACGTATTTATCACAATTTTAAACGAGATAAGTTAAGAATATTGTCAAAAAGACCTTATCAATTTCTTAAAATTATCAAAAAGATTATAGATAGTAACGTATAATTCAATTATTTGCCGACATAATTACATAAATTGTGTATTACAGTTATATGTAAAAAATGTATTTTACTTACATATCTGAATAAATGGTATGAGACTTGCGAAGAATAAAAAAAAAGGATAAAAAAATAAGCAGGAAATATTACTGTATACTTTTCCTGCATCATTACCAAAATTATAGAAAAGTACTCCTAATAACAGTGCTATTACAACGTGCACTGCCAATCTTAATTTTGTCAAAACCTGAAAGATTAATTAAAAGATTAATAATATTTTAATTTTGACAAGCGAACTGTTCGCCTATTACTTTTGAAAATTTGTACTTACGCTATCTCGTTTTATACAAATTAAAGCTCGTAAAAATAATATCTTTTGTTGTTGCCATGTGGATTTTTTTTGTATTGTGCTATTTATACTTGTATCGTTTTGTATTTCAAATTTCTGCTTGAAATTATTTGGTGAATCTAATTCTGTGTATAAAATATTAATTAATTATTAAGAATTATTGTTCCTCACATATTTATACGAATTTATAAAAATTATCTTGTTTTTTTTTATTTTTATAGTTTTCAATAATAATTTTATGTTATACGCAAAGCATTCATTGCTTAATCTCATATATCAAAAAATGTATTTTTATTAAGATTTATATTTTTGTAGAAGATGCAGTAGATGTTATATGCAATCAGTGAGCTCTATACATATTGGAAGTATCGCCTGTGATTTTGGGAAGAGCCTTACACTCTTCCCTGTAAAGTGCAAATGAACCAGAATTGTTGAACCAGCTTTTTACCCTATGAAAAAATTTTCGACCTACATGCACGTTATAATCCAATAGATATGAAGTCGATAATTTTCTCATAGGATAAAAAATTAGTTCAATGACACTGATTCATCCTATATACCACCTTGATCAAAAAGTTCCCCGAATTACACCAGGTGATGCTCTGAGTCAGCTGATATGAGTTTTGTTTTTTTGATTAGGTTGCCACATCTATCATTGATTATCACCAAATTTTATCACCGTAGCTTGACATTTGTAAAAGTTACGCCATCTTGAGTACATCTATCTCTGCACGTATTTTCGATTTTTTACAGTTTTAAAAATGGAGTTGAATTTGCAACAACGAGTGAATTTTTGACCAAGAACGAAACAAATACCATCCAATAGCCATCGAATTCACCTGATATGGCTTCCTGCGATTTTTTTCTGATCAAGTCAAAAAATTACGGGGCACGCGTTTTAACAGCCGAAAGGAGGTAATGGAAAAATCGAAGATGGCTCTGATTGCTATACCGACAATAGAGTTCCAGAAATGTTTCGAGAGCTGGATCAAGCGCTGGCATAAGTGCGTCGATAGAGAGTACTTTGAAGGGGACAATATCACTTTTGATGAATAAAACTTGTATTTTGAAT